GGAGGAGGGAGAGCAGAGGGATTGTATGGTTAGAGAGAAAGAGAGAGAGAGAGAATGGGTATTATAGTCTTTCCCTGTGTGAAATTCATTGAGCTTTGTGTTTTGGGGGCTCAGAGAACAAAAAATTTACTTTTGGGGGTAAAACACCCGTTGAAAAAGTCTTGGGGGTGGGAAGCTTGTTTTCATTCGTTTTGGGGGCTGGAAGCATTTTTCCCCTTATTTAGGAGGAGGGAGAGCAGAGGGATTGTATGGTTAGAGAGAAAGAGAGAGAGAGAGAATGGGTATTATAGTCTTTCCCTGTGTGAAATTCATTGAGCTTTGTGTTTTGGGGGCTCAGAGAACAAAAAATTTACTTTTGGGGGTAAAACACCCGTTGAAAAAGTCTTGGGGGTGGGAAGCTTGTTTTCATTCGTTTTGGGGGCTGGAAGCATTTTTCCCCTTATTTATTTAACTGTTCACTCAATTATGTACCATGTAAAACACTCGTCACATTTCTTGGAGATATATCTTACACTTCAGGTACACTTCTAGAAACTCATTGGACAAGGATTGAGTTCGTTTCAGCCCATATGCAATTTAGAACTACGATTTTAAAAGGTCTTCTGTATATTGGATTAAAAAAGAAGCAGTTTTCCAATTTATAAATCATCAATATAATAAAAAAAATTAAAAAAATTATAGAAATTTTAATTTTCACAACTATGAACAGAGCAATATTTTTCTCATGCAAAATACTATTATATATGTGTGTAGGTATGGCCGTGACCCCATGTCCTACGTCGTATAAATTTGCCATATTTTGCACCTGCACGCATACATGTGTCCATGCTACACAGGAAATAATCCTGCTTGAGGAAATGCTCATGCTGATTACTGATCAGCTAAGCCACCTTTTGTTTCATGTTTAGGTGTGGAAAACATATTAGTGGTTACTTTTCCAACAGATTACTCAACTCTTTCTGCTTACTGTTTTATATTGTAAATAGTTTGTCCATTATTGAATCATCCCATACAATCTAGCCAGTTAAACTTCTATGTAATCCACTCTCATGCAGGTGTAAGCACCCCATTGTGATTGTAGTAGAGATGGATCGGATACTAAGACCTGGAGGTTGGGCAATACTCCGCGAAAAGCTGGAGATCTTGAATCCCTTAGAATCCATCTTCAGATCATTGAATTGGGACATTAGGATGACTTTTGCCAAGGATAAGGAGGGCATTATGTGTGTGCAGAAAACAACATGGAGACCGGCAACTGCTTGATATTTACTTTGACTTGTTGATGGGTGGAAGAATACTGGAATTATGTCTTTATTCATCATTTATATTTATAAACAATTTTGGTT